ATCTGTCTCAATCTATTGTTGATACCCACACTTCTGACTAAACTTAAGGCTGTCGTTTCGGTTCTCATCCAAACGCTAACTAACCACTGACAGTCGTATTGGTTACTTATAATTCTACGTGCGATTTTCTAAAACTAGAGAAATATGGCTGTTATTCTTTCATTCAATCCAAACTCATGCACGTACGTAGTGTTATGGTTCATGAGGGTTATTATTTCTTCATCCAGTTTGTGGTAGTCCATACACAAGTGTGAACAAATGCCCGTTCGCAACACTGCAGTATTATAACTCGAACCAGGAACCTTTGGTATGTCAACTGATATCTCACGTTGAATGACTAAGTGGAAGCCATTTAGAAACACTTATAAGCACCACACTTCAGCCTGACAGACTGATGTCATTTTCACTCGCGTAACACCATTATCTGCTGGCTCGATGTCTAAATGGGACTCGCCTAAAGTACAAATCCCGCTAACATCTGTTCGTGTCTCGATACATTCCCACTTGACAGATGGATCTTATTACATTTCTTCTCGTGTGACACCGTGACTTATTAGGGGTTGCAATATGAGGTCAATGTATCCCATCTCAAGTGTCTCTATACGCCCCCTTGTACTGCTGCCGCCTTCAGGTAAACGCACTGAGATTCAGACAAGTCATCAAGGTTGATTCCCGGAGCAGCGGCAATACGTTGTGACATCCGAATCGAAATGCTTGCGCATAGATAGTATTCTAGACACTGATGAATTGGTCGAGATATGCTAGCGGTCAGAACGAATGACCAGGGGGAAATAAATAGTAACACATGACGGACTGCTTGGTGGTTCTACCTCCCTGTTGATTCTCGCTCACCTCGGACAACAGACGATTATAACCGGCTCTGGTTTTACCTTACGACACGGATAGCCTGCAGTGGACATAATCGCACCATTTCCCTGCTAACTTGGAAAGTTGCTTACGCCATCTCCGTCATTCTTTTTTGGTGTCATCCTTATTCTATATCCCGCATGTAAGTCGCGCTTGGGTGCAGTTTCATTCTAGAATGATTAACTACTGACTTGGTGCAATGTGGTATCTTTATTGCACCTGCCTAGAACGGATGATCCACAGGTAACCTAACTTTTTAGGCTTATTTAACTCGGTTGTATTTCGCGATGACTTCACATGTGTTGCCCATTACGATATTGTACTCATCATGATCTATGCTATGCTATTCTTGCTACCTTCTCAAGCGGAGTCTAGTATGGTTACATACCGAGAGTGAGCTATGGCATCTTCCTCTTCGTATTATTATTCGGCCGCGATTCACATCACTATGTAAGCTCCATGGTATTGCTCACCATAACCGTAGCTTGACTAGCTGCTCAATGCTAACTTGCATGATGCTTAGAGAGCCGGTGCATCGCAGAATAATGGTTCAGTCCATCCATGAGCTCATTCGTAATTGATGTGAGCGCGGTGTTTCCGAGCGATTTGTGTGCTTGCTACGGATCAATGCTAGGGTGGCAAATTATTGTGTATGTTTCCAGTTCGATGGATACGTTTGAATCAAAAGGTTATTATCGCTTGGCCGTTTACAGTACGCATAAAATGTCAAATTTGACATTTGGAACACAATGCTCAACGATTGTCCCTCGTGTGACCACATTGGATTATGCATTCGAAGAGAAATTTCCCTGGAAATTCTGTGTCAAGTGAACAATCCCGACAATTAACCGACTAGCGATTATCACGATGTCGCCATTTCATGTTCCACTCCGCAGGCTAGTGATGAGAGTGAGTATAGTTATAGTTCCAGTTATCCCTCAGCCATACTGAATTTACCGGGGCTTATGAAAACACACGTACTAACCGGATGGAAGGCAGACGTGCAGAGACGCCTACCAGAAGTTGCATTGCACATGGCCAATCTTTTGGATGGATTAAGTAAAAGGTTGAACCTAACGGGAATGGTACGTCAGTGTGTTATTATATAACATCGGAAATGAATCGGCGCATAGCGACAATGGTTTTATGAGCACCGAATGGCTGCACCCGAAACGTACGATATAGACCGTTAGCAAATAGCTTATGGCCACAGTAGAGTACAGGTCGGTAGGTATAAACGGTTGAGTACTTGGACATTTGCACAATAAATGCGAACACTGTTTGGAAAGTCGCATGTTTGACAGTGGGCAGCGGGACTTAGTTGATGTCACCTGTCAATACCAAAGGTTGCGCATCAATCGTTCTTTGAGTAGGTGCACATACCTCGGGCAGCACATGACCGAAACGGTCGGAGACACAGAGAGCCAGAAGTGGACACTGCATCGCATTCGCATGCTGTGTGATCTCCCCCATCAGCTACTCAAACCAGACTGTACATGTAGAGGGCAACACCTAAGTGCACACTATTTCACTGTACCAGTAGTCTAGTCATCATTCTACCTAGCAGTTGCTTCACTATTGCTACATCGGGTTCCTTCAAATATGGATGCCCAAGATTTAAGGCTGTCACGTCTAAATGTTGAAGAAAACATCAACAGTTCGTATTGGGTAGTTATTCTCATGCCTGCGAAAGTGGTTGTTAGCCTGACCTCCAAACGAAACCCATACACGTTTGTCGTACCATTGATGATGATGTCTAATGTGTCTCTATCCAGTTTGTGACAGCTCACACTTAAGTTTGGATAAACGCATGTACATATGTTGTATTCGAACTGCCATTGGACACGGATGACGCCAATCTATGTATATATGTATACCGAATGAATTCGACGAGGATACTCATACCGCTTTTGTACGGCTAACTTAGTGCAGTAAAACGACATTCGAGCAAACCGAAAATAACATTACCAGAACATGAAGAAGGTGAGTTTATGACAAACTCATGTTGATTTCAGGTGTTGCGAATCCAAGGCAAATTTGATCGATGCGAATTCCGTGGACTGCTCAAAAGGGCGGTTTCTCAGGTGCCGGAGAAGGCACTATTGTATGCGGAATAGAAGCACCATGAGTATGTTCCCATTCAATTTACTAATCCAGGCCAATAAGGCGGCGTATGTGGTACGTTTGCCTGCGTGATGAGTAATCTTGCATTTCAGAAGTAGATGTTGCTTGAGCTCCCCGGTGTGGATGCGCCTGATGTGAATGTTGACAAGGTGCCTACCTGTCTATTACCCACTACCTCTTCCATACTGGCTCCAGGAGACAGTTGGTCGTTGCTAGTGGGGACGGAGTGCACCGTCCTCGTGACGGTGCTAGGCTCAAAGAGTGGTTCCATCCTGTGTGGAACGGGCTACGGTCCAGCCACCGCCTCGTGTACGTCTGGTGTGTATGATTTCCCAATTAGGCCGGAATGCTTCCGTTCTGCTTGTTGAAGGAGTGTGGGCCGGCTCCGTTGATGAAACGTGGCTCCCATTCACATGCCTCCCGGTCTTATTCCTTCGGGTTTACACAAGATATGGCAATTCTTGAATAAATTGTGGACATTTTGTACGTATCTCGGATTCGTTGCTAACCAAGTTACTTCATATGCTAATTTAGGGCAGAGTTATGTCGGTATAGCCGTATTCTACAGATTTATTTATTTTGTTTGATAATGCCATTACATGTGATTGGTTGTTGTTTGACATCCCCGATGTGGCTGCGCTTGATGTGCATGTTGACAAGTGCCTGCCTATCTATTTACCCGCTACCTCGTCCACACTGGCTCCAGGAGACAGTTGGTTGTCACTAGAGGGGACAGAGTGAACGGCCCTTGTGGCCGTGCTAGGCTCCATGAGTGGTTCCATGCAATCAGTGTGGAGCGGACTACGGTCAAACCACAGCCTTGTGTCCGCTTTATACCCAAGTACAGGGTGCTTTGTTTGCCTGTGAAGGAGTGTGGGACGGCTCCGTTGATGAAACGTGGCCCCCATCTACAAGCCTCCCGGTCTTAGTCCTTCGGGTTTACATTGGATATGGGGTGTGTGGTTAGAGCCGTGGGTGGTGCAGCGCAAGTCACCCATGGTCTCCCTGTAGGCGCAGGCGTCTCGTGGCTGGCTACAGTGACAGGCAAATCCGAAACCGGATACCACCAACCATAATCAGTAGTCTATAAGATAGACATAGAGCCGGCAAAAACCGTGAAACGGAAGTAACCTATTCAGAGACAAGAAAGAAAGGAACGAAAGTTACAAAAAACTTTTGTTTTTGAATCTTGTTGCTTTTTTGTTTTTTACACGCCGTTTGCTCATTTTCAGTCTGTTTAATGTTTGCGATGTAAATCAAAAAACGCAAGGCAAACATTTGTACACATTTTGCATTGGACCCGGTTCGGCGCTATCTCCGAAAGAGTTTCCAGGCAACATTACACTTTATCCCTGAATCCACAATTCTGGAAGACGCACAGGACCTACAACAGCGAAGCTAGAAGTTTGGCAAGGACGATGGCATCTGACTTTGCGGTTGTGGAGCCCACGATAAAATTCATCTTTAACCGATGCACAGCTGCATTCGGTTGAAGCATAGGGAGAAACGACAAGCAAATGGTTCTCTCTTCACGATGTCTGTTGATTCTACAATAGCCTTGAAGCCGTAAAGCACACAGCCAGCTGTCGATTGGAAACCATCCGATAATGCAGCCTCCGATTTGTCAATCAATGCGATAGCGACATCCGGCTAAGCCGGCTGTTGCTGTCTCCGACCATGCAAGTGGAGGAAAGAGACGCAGAATATGGAAAAACTACACGAAGATATCCGGCACAAATGGTACATGACAAGAAAGGCAAAAAGTGAGCGTAAAGGGAAAGATGCGCAACAGGCGAGAAGTGTAATGAACGGTTTACAAAGCGTAAAGGGGTCGGTAAAACGTGAAAGTTGACATAAATGATGTCATCGTCGTTTGACCTTTGCTCACTAGTTTCTATCAGGTGCCAGTACGATCAGTGTTCTGAGAACTGACCCGTCGATGAGAAAGATGCCCAGCATGAAAAATGAACGTACATACGCAAAGAGGGGAAAATGACTGACTGACTTACCATGGCATCTTCGGTGACTGCTGCTGCTGCTGCTGTGGGACCTGAGAATACACCAAATATGAAGAAAACCTGCGTGACGGTAACCCGTTATGGTCAGAAAGTCACTTGGACAACACAACTTAGGTCATAGGCGCAATAATAGCCATGGATGTATCATTGCAGATCGAACGGACAGTAAAGTGTCCGTACGGTATGTGTAACATAAGAAAAAAGTAGCGGTCGCAATTTGGAGCCTTGTGACAACGCTTTACTACCATATAATCAAAAGAAGCAGGATGCGGACCGGAATACTGCAAAGAGCAGTGAGCAAGGGGGTTACATGCCACAATCGATCCATCGACAATTGACAATGAATTTTGATTGGAGGCCAGATCAAAGGCACTGGGCTATCAAAACGGTGGGAGGAGAAAAAGCACACCCGCTGAATATTTGGAACACTTGGAACGCTTGATCTAATCACATAAACATGGCTAATATACAGAAAGGACACTTAAACTGGAGAAGGAAACCCATAAAGAAACGAGGACAACAGTTAACATGGTGGGAGCAATTAATCCGTGCGAGTTGTTGTTGTCGCCGCTTGGACGCTGCGGAACCACCAATAGACAATAATAACGATGTGTCTGTCCGACCGCTTGTTTGGAGCGCGTGTAATGCGGAGTTTCCTCCAAGGTGATGTAACTGAGACCGCAATAAGGATATCAACAGAATGAGAGTTAGCTTCTGGTGACCGACCTGGGTGGATGTAAACGCATTGATTCAGAATGTTCATACTGGGAAATTGAGTATAAATAAAAAGAAGTAGTGTAGAGGGATTTACGCGGTAGTTAATGGGGCAGACGGAATGCGTATGCAGTGCAGGTTAATGTCGAAAGAGCGAAACTGCCGTCCATTGTTAATTTGCATGTTTGATCACCTTCTGATTGACCACCATCATCAAGAGCAGTACATCAACTAACTGAACTGATGCTTCACTGCCATACGACAACAATGAATTAAGGAATGACTAGTAATAACACGGAGAGAAGAGAGATCTACCTGAAAACCGTAATGACCTAAGCAAACATTCAGGGTCAAGGCGCCTACGCCGATGTGTTAACAACATACCGACACAAAGAGCTGGCTATCGTGCAAAGATAAGATGGCGTCGTGGAGACAGCTTCCTTGCGGCTTTCACTGCCCCGCAGATAACTCAGGACCAAACACACTTTAAACAAGCTGTGCGACTTGGTGACGACATCAGACACACAACTGCTGCCGACTGCGAGCTAGGTTCTGTACCGTCTCGAGCTAAGCACAAGATAGATCAAGTTGGTTCTAACCTGGAAGGCAAGACCGACCGACGGCACCGACTTAGATCGTCAGTGACTTCATTTCCTGCCGTCAACTCAACTTTTACCAGCATCGGGCCTTGCGCCACCCTACATTTGTCAGGCAAAACAATACTCTCCTCGGTAAGCAATGATCGGGCATAAGTAGCACGTACCCAAGACAACACAACTTATTCAGTGCTATCCGCTGTTCGTAAGAACTAGCCTGATAATCAACGCTTAGTAGTCGCTTCAGCTCACATCGTTGCTGAGATGCTAGTGCCATCCGACACCGCAGACAAAGATGATTAAACACAGGTCCTCAGATCGGAGGGGCCAAGTCTCGCTTCCATAAAGTAGGACGGCCCTCACTATGGCCTTGTAAACACAGACTTGCAAAGGGAGGAAAACCCCTCTCTGTCGCCAAAAATGTCGCAGATTAAAGAAAGCAGTTCTGGCTTTTGCAATACGCGAACCGACTTAAGTTGCAATGCGCCCATCGCTGGTGATGCAGCGGCCAAGGTAAGTGAAGTGATCAAGTACCTCGAGTTCCTCGCAATCAATGGTCATTGGATTATCAAGTAGCTGGTGGTCCTAGAATAGCACTTTGCACTGTGAAGGTGAAAAGCGCATACCAAATAAAGGGATCACTCTAGAGAGGTTATTCAGCGTTGATAGCGTCGTTTCATAATCGTTAAAAAGCAGGGCAACATCGCCTGCATAAGTAATATCAACCAGCCTTTCACCAGACAGCACCACAACAAGATGCGTCGAAAGATTCTTTAAGGGTACACTCTACGATGAAATTGAACAACTCTGAGGAACGTCACTTGTTGTTGGAAAGATATGGGACAAGTCACCGTAGACATTGACGCGGTCTGTCGTACTCGAGAATGACAGTTTAAGTCTTTTTCTTGCTTCCTTATAAGCAGTACACTACCCAGATTACTAACAATGTGATAACAAAGGATCCCCTGAGCTTGGAGAGTAATAGCTAACAAGCGAGGAGCGCTAATCTATTTCCTACGCAAAAGATAAAAGCCAGGGGAGAAAGAACCGCGCTTCATCACAACTTGTAACCCTAGTCGGTTCTTTTTATTGGAAAATACGACCACTACTTAGCTATTTGTGTGAGCGTGACAAGTAAAAACGTTACCAACAGTACGCCGGCACAGTGTACTAACGATTCTCTACCATCACCGGCTGTGCGAGGGCTGCTTGTACTGCGAGGTCACCCGCATCTACGTGGATCCGAACAGGTGAGCTCCGGATCACAATGCAGACGCGTTATCTTTCTGGCAAACGGCCGAGGATGGTAAGCGGAAGACAGTCTCGCGCTGCCCGGTCAGGTGGAAACCTGAAAAACAAAGTCGAATGCGTACTGTTGGGGGATATTCAATATGTTCGCGAAAATAGAAAAGTTCAGCGTCAGTCGGCGAAGGTGAACACCGCATAGCACAGCGGTGATCCGGAGAGCACAGCGTGATAAGCAATCGAGCCAAACGTGTGATATCTAAGCGGACCGTCGTTGACATGATGACAGCGAAAGCGCCGTTTGTGTATGGTCAGTGAGAGTTAGGTATCAGCAATATACCACCACCCAGTGGAACTGCATGCAATTGCACGTGAACGGAGATAATGCGAAGGAGAAGATCCGAATCCGGTGTGCAGTTCTCAAACCAACTACCTGAGCCGCTACACCCCGGAGCATGTGGATCGATGGGAATTTATCGTCGGCCTAATGACCACGTGAATGACAAGTGAACCGTGTCACGCATTCAGAAAAAGTTTTTCATTCACAACAAATTATATGGGTTGAAAACCCCCGTGATCAATCGCAGATACACAAGATCGGAAACAAGTGTGAAACTGAAGACAAGCAAAGCTGCAGAGTCCTAGATAAGAAGCGAACTGGAGCACTAAGTGAGCGGGATTTGATGACAGGCAGGATGAACGTCTGTGCACGGCAATCTCATGGCAATAAAATAAATGGTGCACTCAAGGACGCCACACGATCTACTGTTTAGGAATCATCACATGCGATTCTCTGTATGCGGAGAATATGCGTAAAAGATTTAGTGGAAGCACTATCGATAGTGATGACATTGTAAACCATATTCGATCGCAAACCAGGAGTATCGTATCGCACTGTGTGGCTAAGCAGCGAATATCGAGATCAAGTGTAGTGCAAAGCTGACAAGACGCATCACAGATCATTGACCGGTAGATGTGAGTTGCACAAATCCACATCTGAAATGTGCGTTGTCATTTATCTTAGTAGTGTGCATCAGAATCAATCTGTCCGACGGCTTTCCAAAATACTGTGAGGCAAGTGTTGATGCGAATTAGGAAAAACAGCAATACCCCTCTGATGGGAGAAGTGGTGATGGAATCGATGGCAAAACCCGAATCTCAAGGCAAAACTCCTGTTTCCCTGGGGTTAACAACCGAGCAGCGTACTACTAGTGCATGCGTTTTGCGTTTAAGCGATAGAGAAAAGTGGAGGAAAACGTGGAGACGACAATGGGCCATTAAACTATGATGTACGAAACGAATTACACGGACGAGCACGCATGAGTATACAGGAATAAAGAAACCGTAAAACACCGTAGTAGGCAAATGTATCGACAGCATGTAGGCAGTGGCAAGAAGCTGACTTCCGAAGTGAAAAGTGTCAAAAACAACCGCTTAGGTTGCTAGGTGTGAGCATTTAGCTGCAAAAAATGAATCAGAGATCGGCAAACAGCTGACGGCGTGCCAGCGTACAGCAGACCGATGCAATCCGCTTAACCGGGGGGCGAGCATTTTTGCTAAAGGAAAACATCTGAGGATCTAAAACACCATCAGATTCATTTCAACTAGGATCCGAGTACCGAAGTGCGGTGGATCCAGTTGCCACAACTCACACAATATACAACACCGGTAGGTACTGGGGTTGGGTGCAAATAGAATGTATAGAAAAGGAAAGCAAGAAGAATATGCGTTAGACTAATCAGAATGGAACGTCACTGACTTCGTGACTGCGACATGTCTAACACGGTCTCTAACCAGTGGTGTGGACAATCGCGAGGGCCCCATCCACGAAAACGGCACACACCAGCCTGACCAAGTCTTTCAATTTCTTCAAGACTCTATGCCATGTCATGGACTGGCCACCTCGAGGTTTCGCCCAACTTCGTAAAGCCACGACGTGTAATGCATATCGAGGAGGCCGGTCAACGGGCATACGGAGAACATGGCCTAACCAGCAAGAACTCGAGAGAGGCACCAGAAGGCTTCTTGCCAAAAATCAACTAGCAGACCATAGCACTCCTCATCCGGTGTTCCCACCAGACGTGAGCAATAGTTTATAAGCACCGGTGGTCAAACACGAGCAAGTGTTTAAAGTCTTCGCCGCGGACTGGCAATGTCGCTGATGTATACAATAACACTGGCTTACAGCAGCGTTATACACCCTACCCTTTCACTGAAAAGCCGTTATCCCGCCGCCTCCATAGATGGTTAAGCCACTGGAAAGCCACACGGGTCTTGGTGATACGCGAAGTAACTTCCTCAATTATGTGACCATCAGATGTGACACAGCTACAAAAGTAAGTGAACCGATGCACCATTTCCAGTGGCCGTTCGGAAATAGCTAGAAATGGAGGTGTGTCGACCCAGTCCTGCAACAACACTTTGAACGTGCAAAGTACATGCTGAAACGTGCAGCGCTAAGCATAAGTCTGTGCAGC